CCCCAAAACCCCAAAACCCCAAAACCCCAAAACCCCAAAACCCCAATTTTAAGCAGATTTATTGAAATTAATAAATATTATTTAGTAATGAATCTTATAGTATTGGCAGTGATGAGCTTTGTGATGCACCAAGCACTCACTTACGACCATCCAAACCCTGTGATCATGAAGAACAGGAACACAGAGGTTCCATATATGAAGAATCCTGAGGGGATCCCCTACGTGATTGCTCATAGAGGAGCCAGTGGGCAGTTGCCTGATCATTCAGCTGCTTCTTATGCTACTGCTTACTATGATGGAGCTCATTTTAATGAGCCTGATCTTCAAGTCACAAAGGATGGCGTCCTTGTTGTCATGCATGATGAATGCATGAAATCATCGACTAATATAGAAGATCTTACCCAGTTTGCAGATAGAAGGACTAACGCCACAGTTTCAACAAACGAGACTTACTTCGAATGAATTAATGACTTCTTGGTAAATGACTTCACATGGCAAGAACTTGTTGAATCAGGCCTTAAACTTAGAAGTAGGTATAAGGAAAGAGGAGAGTTTTATAATAGCCTTTTTGCTCCAATGAGGCTTGAAGACGCTATTGACTTCATGCTTGACCTCAATGACAGATCGCCTAGAGAAAACCGCAAGTTCAAAACAGGTCTGTATATCGAGACGAAATCTGTTGGTTTTTATAAACAAGAGAGAAATGTTGATATAGCAAAGCTGCTTTATGAAGTATTAGAGAAGTACGACCTTGAAACTGTGGAGAAAGCAGCTAAGAAGCTACCTATTTTTATCCAGTCCTTTGAGCAAGACTCTCTGTTATACTTTAAAACAAAGACAAATTTGCCAACTGTTCAGTTGATGTGGGACGAACAGGAATATGACCTTGAGTGGGTTACGAGTTATGCTAATGGAGCTGGGCCAAAACATACAATGCTGTTCAACTATGATGACGAAGAGTACAATTTATACAAACCTTCAAGATTGATTGAAAAGTGTCATGAATTGGGGATGCAAGTGCATCCATACACTCTCCAAGATGATAAGCTTGTCTATGCAAGTAATGAAATCGATGAAATGATTATCTGGGAGGCTAAAGGCATTGATGGAGTTTTTACTGAGTTCCCCAGATCAACTTTGAGCATCCTCAAGCATTCTCATTCAAATAGGATTCTTCTTTCTGGAACAGATCAGTGTACCCTAGTTGAAGATTCCTGTACATAAATCCTAGATACAATAATATCCACAAACTACATTTCAATCCTCAAAAATATGGCCGGGGTTTTGGGGTTTTGGGGTTTTGGGGTTTTGGGGTTTTGGGG